AGTAGTTGTTGTTGTTGTTGTTGTACGTACTAATTTCAAGTAGTACGAGAAATACGCCAGCGTGGATCCCCATACAGCGATAGAATAGCGATAGGGTGCCACGACGACCATGACCATGACGACCACCACGACCAAGACCGCCACGACCACCACAGCGCTTCCGACACATCATGACGAGTTTGTACAGCATCCTGCTTCCATCCAGGCCAAGGATCGCAGCGAGCAACGAAGCATCCGAACTTGGGGTGGATAAACCAGCGCTGCACGGGCTTGTTGCCTTGAGTAAAACATGGCAGCTGAGGCAGAAGACTTGCGTCATGCATCCAGGCTTGCGGTGTGAGAATCACAGGCTGAACGATATCTGCCTCGTCCTGAGAAATACTTCAACCTGCTGATTCGGAAGCCCGTGGCCCCTGCTCCCTGCTCCGAACAAAGTCTCACCGAATCTGCTACAATTCGTCATGCCGATACCACTGAAAAAAATCATAAAAGCTGTAGGTTTCAGCATCCGAAAAGATGGTTACGCGGACCTGGTCTACACGCACGCTGAAGCTGTGGTCGCAAAGGCTGGCTGTGCACACCTGTACATCACTAGGGAGCACGACAAACCCACCAACCATGCGTCTTATTCCAGTACCGTCAACAAGGTCATTCTGTATATCTTGCTGCACTTGGGGCACAGGTCTTGCATCCACATAGCACAGGTGGTTGCTTCTCCGGGCTCGTGAGTCCTGCAGTCACTTCTGTGCAGGGTCGCAGTGTGGCAAGCAAGATTCCGAGGCCAATGAGGAAACGTGCCTGTCCTGGCACTGCAGGAGCACGGGTCATTCGCTGAGGCAGCGCAGGTGCAGGCAGCCTGGGCTACGCGGAATGGCATGCGTCTGGATAGTGGCACTGGCATCTGCGAGTACCAGTCTTGTTGCTTGTGATCATCGTTATCATCATTAGGAGTGCTCGTAGTGTTACTGCCGTAGTGCTGTTCCTAAAACGTAGTTGTGGTAGTGTTGCCAGTGTCACTAGTTGTTGGTAGTAAAGCTATTGTTTGTACTACTGTTGGTCTGCTCAGGATGGGAATATTTGCATGCCATTGTCGCTAGCATGGTCACAAGCTGACTCGTTTGCAAACGCATTCGTAGTGTAGCCATGACAACAAATATCATTCAATACGGTTGGGTTTGCTGTTGCTTGTCAATGTTGTCGCTGTGATTACTTCTGCTGCCTCTCTGCGAGGTGTCAACAGCATCATTGATTCCGATCTCCAGAAGCGATGTTGGTGCTCCTAGTGTTGATGGCCTCTTTGGTGTTGCTAGCGCAATGAAAGACAACATTGCGATGTTCGTCGTTCATGCTGCTATTCCAGGTGTTGCCCTGCCTGGGGTATTCTGGTCAGGTCAGTTCAAAAAGTGTGTTAAGCAAAAGCTGCCTGAAAACGCCTACCAGAGACTTCATTGTGCGTTGCTGCACTTGTACGTATGGACCTTGCTGTTTGTATTCTTTGGGTTGGATGCGACAGTGTTGCTCTGGCACTGTTGTTGGTACCATCGTTGTGCATGGGGCTACCAATACCGGAGTGTTCGCAGTTTCGGTATTTTTGATGCTTTCGCTGCTGCTCCTACTACTTCCGATGATATTGAACTGTTTTACGCCGTCATACATGCTATCGGTCTATGCAATGAGTCATGATGTGTGCGTTGTTTCATCAGCATCGTAGTATTCATCGCTGCTGCCGCTTTTTTTGAGCACTGGGAGCACTGTTATTGCTGCTTGTTCGGCATTGCCGTCTTTTCCGTGCTAGGGCAAGGATCGTAAACTCTGCGGGGTGCAGTAGTCATTCTGACTGCTACAACCTTTGCCATTGCTCTTGCTGTTGATGCGAGTTCGTATTCTCAGTATCAGGGTTTTCCTGCTCCTTTCTGTTGTTGATGCTTTTGCAAGCGCTGGACTGACAGTGACAGTGCAGCCCCGGTGCGCTGCGAGGGCAGCAGTACCTGAGCAGCAGCTCTGAAGATCTACGGTCTGGATCAGGTGTGACACGCAATTACCTAATCCAGGTGCGAAGGATTTGCGGCTTGTGGTTGAGTCCGGGATGGTTCCAGGGCTTCAGGCGTGACCGTTTACAACCTCCGAGCTTCATTGCTGAGGCTTTTGGGGCAGATTCACTTTGTCCATCTTAGCGCGCGGCTTTCGCGGTATGGGACCTTGACTACGTTCACGTTGCAGTTTATGGGCGCAGGGAACAGACGAGCTCCACTCCCACAGCATCCCGCTCTGTGGCTTAGCCTCTGTTCTCGCAGCAACCCTATTGGAAGCATTCATGCTGTCCTGCACCAGCAAGGAAAGTCTTTCCTTTCCGAGCCTGTTTGCCCACATTACAGGGGGAGGCCGAATAGAAAAATCTGAGTTGTGTTCCGGGCATCAAAATACGCTTGTCTAATCAAAAATACGCAGTTTATCCATGACACCGCCTCTGGATGAACCTGACGCGGCTGTCCGGCCTGCCACAGCTTCTGTATAATCGGACTCTAGACATGGTGGTGATGATGAGGCGGACAGTAATAAGCAGAAGGTGGAGACAAAAAAGCAGGAATAAGTGGGCGCTGATGATGATGATGATGATGATGATGACGATGACGATGTTAAGGCTGAAGAGGAGAAGGAAACGAAATAATTGTGATGAAAAATCATGATGATGATGATGATGATGATGAAGACGATGAGGATGATGATGTTGATGGTGGTGGTGATGATGATGATGATGGTGATGATGGTGATGATGGTGATCATG